TGTGCGTCTGATCTGCGGCTCCTGATTTAGATGTGCCTGGCCTGGCTGGGCCACATTGAGTGAACAGGGCTGCATGTAAAACATATAATACAGGTAATCTGTTTAAGTAACAAAACCTCCTTTTTAAAAAGTTATAACAAAGCGTGTCTCATCTGCAGACCACAGGTTGGACATGCCTGTTAGAGTTTGGCTCAGTGTTTCTTAAGATGAGAAGGCAGAGCTGTGGGAATATAGTCATACAGATAATCGTGAGCCAGGCGTGATGGCATACACGCTCGTAATTACAGCTACTCAGAGGCCGAGAACTTTGAGATCAGCGTGAGCAACACAGGGAGATCTGTCTCAAAGAAAAGAAAAGGCCACATGCCTATAATCCCAGCACTTGAGAGGTCAAGGCAAGAGGGTATCTGCAAGGTCAAGGCCGGCCTGAACTACATAGCAAGACCCTGCTTAAAAAAATCATCAGTTTCAGTCTCTGTAACTTGGTACCTAAAATCACTTCTTCCAAGCTGTGCTTTCTGTGAGAACCCTCAGAAAATCAGTTTTCATCATTCCTCTAAACTGAGCAGCAGCATCTCAGTGCTTGTTAGTGAGACTTCTCCCCATTTCTAAGTGACCCTGGGGAAATTTGATTAAGATTGTGTTTATCCAGGAAGGTGGTGGTTATGTTTAAGCTTTGCCTTTTCTATTGATGATCAGAAGCTAATTCTGAAAACCAAAAGGAGGAGACAAATGAGATGAGAAAAATAAAGGAAATATTTAATAGAACTAAAGGTTCTTGCAAAACAAATTTTCTCCTAAGCTGTCTTTCCTGTCTCCTGCACCAAACTGGTCAGGTCTTGTCTGAAGCTAACAGCATTTCCCCTGCCTGAGTGAGGAGAATTTTTTCGAGCATGATGGCCCCTTTGCCTCTCTCTATGCAAAATCACTTATACTGAACTTCCCATTGTTTTGGGAACCCCTAAATAATTACTTCAAGTTGATCCTCATTGGAAAGACCCAAAACCTCAAACTGGCGTATCAGTCCCTAAAATGCCTGTGGCACAATGCCCACCTCTTGGATAGCTGCCCTGCTACTGTGTATAACAATAGGGTACAGCACACAAGATGATGAACCAATCCGACTAGCATCCAACACGAATCACCTATTTCATTTAATCGGGGAAATAATTTGTCTCCAGTTACTGCTATAAAATCTGTGGCCTGCCCCAAAAGAATTCCTACCCCAGCTATTGGCTTTAAAAGAAGGAATCCAAACGCCTTGAGTTGTCAGAAGAGTCAAATTAAGTTCAGCCTTAATTTAGCAGAAGGCCTGTAGAAGGATGCCAGGGGATCCCCACACATTGCTCAGATTACCTTTTTGAAATAAAGCAAGCTCAGTGGGGCTCCTTCCCTTGTATTTCACATTTCCTTCTCAGATGATGCAGGTGCTTGGAAAACAGGTATTGGGAGCAGTTGAAAGGAAGAACGTTTCCCCCTTAGCCTAGGGATTCCCCAGCAGTGTGTGGGGTTTGAACTGTCCCTTCCGTGTCAGGCATTCCATCTAGTGGTGGGAGAAGGGAAAGCCGTGAGGAGGCTCCAGGAAGACTGTGGGGGACGTGACAGGACGTGGCTTCCCGGCAGGCGTCCTCTCCAGAACTGGACGGTGCCAGTGCTTTGTGAACAAGCCTGCCGTGGATGGGGAGTGTGGGCCAGCCCCCGCCCTGTACAGAGCCGCTTAGCACACGGCCCTCCTCTCAGTGAGCGCTGATGAAGTCCGCAGGCTGGACTGTCTCGCCCTGAAGATGGGCTTTCCCCCATCTCCACCCTCGTGGAGGCAGAAAGTGAACTCAGTAGTTCATCCCTCTTTGCTTTGTGCCTGAATTTGTGACTATATGGGCTTAAGAGCAAGGGTAGAACGTGAACTTTAAAAAGGAGAGTCAATTTGGCAAAAGATCAAAACCATGCTATTCAACAAGTTAATCCAGAAAAGAATAAAGTGATATTTGTGTTCCCAGTAACCATGCCCTAACCCCAAAGTTGACCAAAGTGTCTTCAGAAATTTTTCAAGGCACAGGTAGTATGTAGTTGGCCTAGTACCTGCAGTGCTGTGATGCCTTCCTAGTTATAATTTTCCAACAACTTCCCACTACGTTCAACTAAAGGGCCCACTCTTTTCCTGCTCTTTACTCCTCTTTAATACTTCCTCTTTTTCTCCAGTTCTGGGAAAGTCATAAAATCATATAACTCACGTCTGGTACAATTCCAGCTGCCACTGTAAACCCTAACTACAGCCTGCTTTCCAACCACAATTAGTGTAGCTCTTGGTAGAGTCTCCCTCTCCCACACCTTTGTGTGCCGCCGGCTCCTGTCCCACCTGCACTTTGTATACCCCTCTGCCCTCAGGCGGGGAAGAAGACACAAGATCCCGGCCACTGCACAGCTGCACTTTATTGGACTCATCCAGCAGGCTGGCTCCCGGCCATTCACACTTCTCAGATACCACCCATACGGTTTAGGGAGGTGCCGTCACTCTGTGAAGGCCCAGAGCCCACCTGTCATAGAGCCCCAAATTGATTCACCAACCAGAGGGGAGAGTGGAAAAGGAAATGGGAGATGGGAAAGGCAGGGCTCTTGGGTAGAGAGGGTGATGGAGGGAAAGGCTGATCCAGAAGTACCCCAAGGGCACACTGAATCCTAAAAATGACAGGGACGGACTGAGTAGGAGTCAAGCAGCTCCCATCTATATGGCAACTTTGAGGAGTCGCTTGATGTCAGGCTCAATGTTGATGGTCTGAAAGGAGCGGCTGTAGCGTCGGAAGGGCTCCCCCTCTGGTCCTACGAGGAACTTCTCAAAGTTCCAGGACACGTCTGAGCGGCGCACTGGACTCCACATGATCAGCTTGGGGTCAGTCATGAGGGAAAGTGGGTCATCGTAAGGGTAGGGGAGCTTGTCCTTCAGGTAGGCGAAGACAGGGTGCTCGTTCTGCCCATTCACCTCACACTTCTGGACAAGAGTAAAAGTGGGCTGGAACCCACTCCCAGGGCGCACGTACTTGAGACTGTTCAGGATCTCCTCATTTTGACAGTTCTCCTGGGGGAAGGAAAAGTCAACATGGAAAAGGGAAGGGGAAAACGAAGGACCTCTCGCCTGTAAATATTTCAACTTTCACTCCCCTAGATCATTATCCTCCCCTCCCTCCCTCCCCCTTTCTCTCTGATACACTCCACATGATGAGCTCTGTCTTTCCTTTTCCCTACTCTTGGGCTTTCCCTCTCCCAGCTATTGTTTTATGGTGTGGTAGGCCATTTCTAAAAGTTCCTGTAGCTCCTAATCTGGCTGTCCTTGCACTTTGATGATCAGACTGACCCAGGTTGGCCCTGGACAGTTCTTGAGTTATTTGTTTGAATCTTCAAGGAACCTTGAATTCAGGGCAATGAAAGGAAAGGAGGCTCAAGTCATACTACCTGTCTTATGACACAGCTACCTGCGTGTACAGACACATGCACGCACACACAGGCACTTACTCTCTACCCCCACTGTTTCCTCTCCCTGATTGTGCCTTGCTTGCTCCTTAGTCCCATGTTTGTTGTTAAGTACATTCTTTGTCTCTGCCCCACTAAGCTCCTCAAAGCAAGGGTGAAAGTAAGGCTGGCTGGAATGGGATTTATCACTTCTAGCTCTTCTCCTGCCTTGTCCTAGAACTTAAGCGCAAATAGGAGTAAGCTGGGATCATGTCCAGACACCGTAAAGGTAAAGCAAGTTAGCGACAACAGCAGATGTTCTCATGGAATTACTTAGCAAGCAACAGGAATGAGTCAAATAGGTTACAGGGTTTAAGGCTCTAGAAAATGTTTTGGGGGTCAACTGAGAAAATAAGTGCTTGAGGGCTGAAATTTATTGTAATTATTCCTCTTCTAGGCTGCTGTCCATGGCCCCATCTTCACTCACTGTATTCAACTATGAAGCTTTAACTTAAAAGCTATTACTTGTGTTCCCCTCCCTACAGCCATCCCTATCCTGTACCCACTCAGCACTCCCCACCTGCAACAACCCCAAAGGCCTGTAAGAGCTCTATTTCCCACCCCTTCCTCCCCAGTCTGAACATCAGTATCTCCCTCTGGGACAAAGTCCTGCTCTGACCCATGAGAACCCATTCGTACAGTCAGCTCCAGGCCGTTAGGACATTCCTGAGCCTTAGCTGATCTCTACTATATTCTAATCTCTTAATACCAATGGCTGGCTGGCTCCTGGTAGGTTATGGACTCCTTCCAGCAGCCCGCTAGCCCAGAGATATGTTGTAAGGCTAAAAGCATTAGGGCTGGAGCTGCCTCCGAAGAGGTTCCGCCCTTGCTGTCTCTCCTACAAAGGCTGGAAGAGAACTGAGAGTGAAGGCATCGTGAGAGCAGTGATGGTTTGGGTGCTGCTGGGTACATTCAGGGAGCCTTCAGCCTTCCCACTTACACCTTGGCTAATCCTTTCTTTCCTTCACGCCACTGTGAATTAAAGGAGTTAAACTTAGAAAGTTCACTGGGGGACATTGTTTGCTTGTACAATTTAGGTCATCACTAGAAATGGAAGAGTCCCTAGAAGATAACTGGAGGTGCGCAAGCTGAAGGTCTGTAATGATGCGCACCTGTGATACCCAGAGGAGACACATGCCTGTTGCAAACCTTTCTCTTTTTTCCATATTCACTTTCCACCTCCGATTTAAACGAATAAGTCTGCACTCTAAATAGCATATTGCTTGTATTTGCATAGTACTTTATATTTTTCTAGTTCCTTTTTTGTATCTCATCCATTTAACCTCACAGTAGCCCTCTGAGTGGATAATTATTTCCAATTTACAGATAAGTAACAAGAAAAATTGAATGCCTTTTCCAAGGGCACAGAGCCACTGAAGACCAGAATTAAGATCTCTTGAGTCAGTTCAATCCTGGTTTGAGTGTTAATCTTAACTTTCTGTTTCCTCTACTCACTCATTCAACAAATATTTAATGAGACCCTTTGCAACTGGTGCTGAGGACACAATGGAGAGACCATACCTGGTATCAATCAGCCCTCGTGGAATAGAGTGGAGAGACAATAATAAAAACACACGCCTTCAACGTTTAATCTCAGAACGTATCTGTTCCCCTTGGCATCTTACATGTGGCTAAAGACCTCGCTTGAGAAAACACAACTCCACACTAACACACATGGTCATTCACCCCTTTCCAGTATCCTCCTGCTCAAACTATGTCAGCCCGGTTCCTGGTACAACACAAGGAACAGCTCACCTGATGTCCAAATTGGTTGCAAGGGAAGCCAAGAACCACCAGACGCCTGGGGAAGCGGCACTGCAGCTCATTGAGCTGGGTGAAGTCCCGGGTGGTCGTGCCTCAAAGGGAGGCCACATTCTCAATCAGCACTGCCCTGCCACGGAACGTGTTGAAATCTATCTTCTCCCCGTCCAGGCTGATGGCACTGAGGTCGTAGAAGGACTTGGCAATGTAAGCCATGGCGAAGAGCAGAGCGAGTGTGCGAGTGGCGTGAACGCACTTCAGGGTCTATGGAAAGCGTGGGGAGGAAGGAGGAGCTTGCCAAGGACACAAAGGAATCACACAATGGGCCTTTGAGCAATCCCACAATGACTTTGCAAAAACAAGCATCCACCTGTGCAGTGAGAAGGAGGAGGCTGCTCCTCCTACTCTGAAACAACAAAACCACCTCACTGCCCCACCCCGCTGGCAGACTTGAAAGGGCCAGCTTGATATCTATGAGCATCTGTGAATAATTCACTACTTGCGCGAAACCAGATCCCTAAAGGTCAAATGGGGAGGAAAAAAAGAGGGAGAAATGCAAGATTGACTTATGCTTGCCCTAGCAAGTTACTTACCTTTGGCACAGGTATTTATTGAGTGCCAGTCTCTGAATTGTGCTGCAAGAGATCAAAGTCTGGAAGGACCCAAAAGGTGAGGAAGAGAATCTGGGCTGTGCCCACCTCATAGGATGAACACTGAAATTCACAATTTTCACATTGGCTGCTGCTCTCTATAAGCACAAAATCAAAGGGACCCTCCAGAGAAGAATGTGTCATTTTTCAGTGCCTCATTGCACCAGGCAGAAGAGGTGAAGTTGTGTTTGTCTTGAAGTCTTCCAGGGAATGGCCCTCCTTATCCTGCAGCACCCTTCTGCTCTTGGCATTGCTGTGTACCAGCTCCTGTGTTACACCCCTCCCTCCGCCTTGACCTCCACTCCAAAGTTGTGAGGATACAGTTGTTGCTGGGATAATGCCGACATCACTGAACAGGTGGGTGGGTAAACTCCGGGTGGATGAACTGTACCCATCTTCCTCTCAGATAAGGCTTCAGTCAATCCCACGTCTTTTCAAAGGGACCTTGTGCTGCTCATCTCCCCACAACAGGATGTGTGCGGGGAAGTGAAGCTGCCGAGGTGCCAGACTAAGGAGGGCGGTGCACTTCAGGACATCTCAAGACCTGCAGAGGACTGGCACGGGAGCCTCCTGTCCGTGCCTACTGAAACTAAAAAGACCCCGATGCCACTTCATTGTTCAGACATCCTCCACCTCAACACATCAGTGTTTTAAAATGCCTGATTTCTCCACCACTGAAACCAGTAGTTAGGACTTCCCTGGCTTTGGGATCTTAGAGAATTTTCAGTAAAAAGGTAGATGTTTCCCAAAGAGTGTTTTCCCAGGTAGACATCCACTGGAACTTGTCTTCTAGAACAAAACACAAGCAAGGCTGGGAGCAGCTGGTCTTGAGACTGATTTATTGAGGTGATGGAGGAACTACCCACCAGGGAGTACCCTGCTTTCCAGTCTTGTTGCTTCTTCTGGGGCCATTAACTACATGGGAACCATGTGTCTCAGCTGGCTACTCGTTAGACACAAATTACCACTATCCGAGTGGAATGGAATCTTTTGTCACCAGAAGGGGTGACAAGAATTAGAGTAAAGTGCTTCCTCTGTTGAGTCTGGGTGCAACTAACTAATGTCCCTTCCAAGCTACCAAGTCAGAGTGACTTGGCACCAACAGTGGGTGAAACCTCAGCATTAACTTGCCAGGCTTATCTGCTTGCCTCGTACCCTGGGCTTCCTGAGAAACCTCTTCTTCACTGCTCTTTTGCAAGCCCTCTGTGGATGGGCTACAGGAGTCCAAAGTGAGGAAGCGAGAACATGCTCTCCCTCTCCTCCAGCTTGACTCAATCAGGAGTATCCCACCTCTTACAAATAGCTGCAGCTGATGAAGTGCTCCAAAACTACCTGTTTCCAATTTCACTTCATGCTGGCCTGGCTCTCCCGGCCATGCTCTGCAACTGTGTAGTTCTCACAGCTTTCTGCAGGGCACTGGTTGTTCTGGAAGCAGCACTGGCTGCTTGGTGGGCGGTTCTCAGTTTTGACTGCAAATGAGAATTGCTTATAGAGATTTTTCTAAACAGAAGTGCCAAAGCTTTCTCCAGAGATACCACAGAAGTGGTTTCCAGTCATAATTCTGCTACTGTTACTTGGGGCCCTGGGGCAAATCTTTTCCACACACCTGTTTCCTTATAAGTTTAACACTGATAAAAGACAATCACCCTCCTTCTTATATAGTGATGTTAGGATCAGAGGAGATAAAGTATCACAAATGCTCAGTAAACTATAAAATGTGGTTAGGTTCTTAAGACTGCAATTGTCCTATTTTACTTTTTCCTTCTATCCTTACCCCATTTCCTACCTCCTCTGGTAACTCCACATGCCAAAGTGGAGTATTATCTACAGAATCCTGAGGTCCACTCTGAGTCTGCTCCCCAAAGGTATCCAGTCACAAATCTGCAAAGTTACTCAGTCCCTCATACTTTTAGGAAGATCTGTTCCTCATCCATCCTGAACAGATGAAAACTGTTCAGCTTTAAAGCCTCATGTGGTCACAGGTGGGGCTTTTTGGAGGTGGCTGGATCTAGGGTGTGTGATTCTGATATTAAGGCTACCCCACACTGGGTGTGACTGCTACCTGCCCTAAGGGTAGGTGGGCTGCATAAGACAAAGGATTGAGATTATCACTGTGTGTCACTTATAGCTTGCTGCCTTCCTGCCCTCTGCCCACCATGAACTGTTTCTCCTCTGCAATGCCACCCTGCCTGGGAGCCATCTATGGACTGAAACCTGTACAGACTGAAATAAACCTTTCTTCCTTTAACTTTGGGTGTTGGGTATTTTGTCTCAGCAACAAAAGAAGTAACCAAGACACCTCTGCCCAAACTTGGATGTTTGGCATCCTCCAGTGATTGTGCCTAATCTTGTTCTGCAGAACAAGCCCAGCACTGGGCAGTGGGAGCCACGTGTTGAGCTCCCCTGCTGGTGGCACTAGAAAAGGTGCAAAACTGAAGACACAGTTCTCCATTTCCAGTGTCATTCTGTTGTTGATTTAGTATTCTGGGGCCTCTTCTATCAGTACTCACTGTCCCCTTCCCACTTCACCACCAGGGTCCCAGTGAGACCACCTCCCAGGGGCTAATACAGGCAGCCACACCTGTGGTTTGAAGTATTCTTTATTTTGTAAACATCTGTGTTTAAAATAGATGAACCCTGCTCACACTTCATATAATGGACCCAAGACACAGTACACAAAGTTCACCTGTCACAGAGAGATGGTAGGGCTCAGGAGCAGATGGTATCCAGGGGCTGGGCTGAGTCCCAAGACATAGGGGCAGAGGCGGTGACAAGAAAACAGGCCAGGAATGCCTGCAACAGTCTAAGCCAAATGACACAGCCCAGCCACCTCCTAGACAAGAGTGCAGGAGAGGCCAACTCTGGTTCCTGATGAGTAAAATCCCAGCCCTGTTTTTGCTCCCATACCTGTTCCCAGCTTGGCCCTCACGGAGAGGGCTCATTGGTCCATGTTTTGCCTTCCAGAACCCTTAGGGTACAATAAAAATATAGCCCTTCTTTCCTGAAGGGGCTAGGAGAAAAAGACAGCAGTGCTCTGCCTATCTCCGGGAAAGAATGACACTGGCCCACAGGTGGGCCTCCAGTGCATAATGTAACTTCTTTCTCAGCTCCCCAGCTGAGAGCAAACAGGATTGCTCACCACCCTGCTCACCTTCAGCACAGGGCTGCACAAGTCAGTCCTCAAGGAAGCAGCCGCAGACAATCATGGCTTCATCCTAACGCATCAGCTCTAAGTCTCTCACCTGCCAAGGACTTATTTCTATTCCTGCGCTTTCCTTCCACCGTGCTCACCTCTTCCTCACCCTAAACCCTGAGCCACCCTCTCCTGCTGGCTACCCCATGGTTTGGTAAGAGCCAGGAGGAAGTGTCCAGTGATTTTATCTTCACCTCCTTCTTTGGAGGAATGAGGAAGTGGTGCCCTGATGTGGGTTCTTGATTGCAGAAATGCTCAGTGCCCAGTTCTTTCTTTTGGCTCCAGCCCCAGCCATGCAGTGTGCGACTGAGGAACAATTCTCTTTCCTGGGCTTCTCCCACCTCAGGAAGGTGAGCAGGAACCCAAGCAGGGCTGGTAATTGAAAGAGGCCTTTCAAAAGTCTCCTTCAAGCTCTTCTTGGGCTCCTGGGGTGGAAAAAACTTGAACATAAAACTCAGGAGGAGGGAGTCCTCCTCCATGCCCTGGTAGCCACAGTGCAAGCTGGCACTTTTCTCAAGCACTTTGTCTTGAAGGCTGAAGAGAACAGCACCAGGGCCATCTTTCTCTTCCCATGAAGTCTTGCCCTCCTCTCACAGTGACTGGGGCCCAGGAAAACCTTGATTGTCGAAGGCTGGGTTCAGTAAATTGGCATGTTTATGTTACCTCTCATCTCTGCCAGGGAGTTTAGGGAAAAGTTCTTACCCGAGCAAGGAAGAGAAGACCAAGGAGCCTTTTGCTACCACAACCCCTCTGCTTTGCAATGTGCTGTCCTGGGCCTGCTTGCCCTTGCTCTGACATCTAGGAGCTAGGCTTTCACTTCTAAGCCCTCCTTTTTCTGGCATATGTAGTTGGCTTGACAAACGTCACCACCCCCAGGGCTCTCCTTGCCTCTGTGGCACCCTTAAGCCTTGGTACCCACTTGACATTCAGGAGCCCAGGTGAAGAGAAGTTGTGTACATGCTGCATGAGAGGTAGACAATGGAGGTGACTCTTTATCCCTGCCACCCCTATCATTTTCTCCTCTTCTCTGAAGCACTGCCTCTGAGCTCAGTTCCCCACAGAGGCAGGGGGGCTACTGAGCAAGGCCAAAGCTTAGATAGGGGGAGCAGGCAGAGGCAGGACAGTCCTGTGCTCAACGACCACCAGATGGCGTTTCCTTCCTACCTCCAAGGTCCTTGGGGAGGCAGGCCCATGGCACAGGAAGGGGCAGTGGGGTGGGGAGGAGAAGCACCCTTAGCCTTTGGCCCAGCCCAGAGCAGGGTGGGGTCCTCCCTGGGGCAGGAGCTGAGACTGCCCATGAGCCTAGGCCCAGTCCCTTAGTCAGGGTTAGAAGGAAGGAGCTGCTCCAGCAGCCGCACAGCAGAACACAGGCCGAGCATGGGAGGGGCTCAGTACAAACACGCTGGAGGGAGGGCTGGAGAAAGTGGGAAGGAGAGAGAAAGCAGAGACAAGACGCACTGAGAACGGAGGAGCCTTTTCATGGTCTCCACTCCAGTCTCAGCCACTGTCCAGGGAGCTCGGGGCAGGAGATACTGCTCGCAGCACACCGTGGGGTTACAGCGGGCCTATGGCTGGGGAATGGGCTGAAGGAGGCCACTCCAGGGGAGGGGCCAGGGACAGACGCTGCTCAGAGATGACAGCAGAGCTGCTCTCAGGGCCAGGCGGGGAGAGGAGCAGCTACTGATTCAACAGGTCATCAAAGGAGAGGGCAGCAGCAGGCAGAGCCCAGGCTCCTTGTCTGCCCACCAGCCTCCCGAGGCACGGGGTCCGTGTGGGGCGCCCCACGCAGGTCCCTCAGCACCAGCAGGTTTTTGAAGAGTTCGCTGGACCCTCAGGTTTGCCCTCCTCCTCCTCCAGCTCTGCCAGGGCCAGCTCATTGCTGGCACGCGTCCGGAGACCATCCAGCTCCTTCCGGTGGGCCTGCAGCACCAGCTCCGTCAGACGCGTGAAAGACTGGAAATCAAAGGGCCCAGTCAGAGCTGTGTCCCCTCCTCCCCAGGCAGCGGCCAGAGGGGTCGATCCCATCTCACGAGGCTTCCCGCTCTGCTGCACTCGGCCAGAGAAAGGGTGGCTATCTCCATCCACAGCACTCACCTCTTTAATGTTGAGGTTGGTGCAGGCACTTGTTTCATAGAAGTCCATGCCATACTCCTTAGCTAGCTGCAAGAGAAGGACATTTCTGAATGAAAGTAAGAAGAGGCACCACCACCCGGCATGTACTTCAGCTACTGTTCTTGCAGACCACGCCACGTTGTGACAATTTCTCAGATGAGACTGAGTGCTCCTTCCAAGACACAGGCCAGCAGAGAATGGGGGAGATGCCCCCCAAATGCACTGCATTCCTCCAACCCACCCAGCCACCTCCTAAAACACCCTCATCAGTCCAGGACAGCAAGACACCAACTGCAGTGGCAGTGAGGCTGACTTGTGAACACCGGCTCGGAGTGCAGAGACGCAGGCCTGACCACCAGCGCTGCCACCCAGTGACGATACAGCCTTGGCAGAGGCTCCTTCTCCCTCAGCCCAGCTTCCTCTTCCGTGGGGAAATGACAGTGCGTGTGGTCTGCAGCTGCAGAATCAGTAGGGTTGTGCAGCTCAGAGCATTTACTTAGCACAGTACCACACACACAGTGCTCAATCAACACTACTGCTCTAGTAGTGTTGCCTCTACTTTTGCATTTTTCCATGACCATGTATTACTTTTTATACCCACCAAATCAATTTTCTCTTGCGGGCTAATGGAATGCTACTGACTGATGAGGGTAAGGAACGCTCTCGAGGCCCTCAGAGCGGGTGGTTTGCCTCCTGTCTCACAGCATCAATTTCTCTGTTCTCTGGCAGGCTGGCTCCCTGCATGCTTGGACATTTTACACCGTCTTCTGCCCTTTCTGCTTCCTCAGCGGTGGGCCCTGCATGCCCTCACTGTCTGTCCTCCCTCTTCCTAAGCACACGGAGCACAGGCAGTGAGTGTGCTGGAATCAATGGGAGATCAGGTTCCCGGATGCTGCTGGAGAAGATGCCAGCAAGGCGAAGTCCTTCCTTCTCAGCCGCACTGGGATGATCTCCCACACAGGTCTTCCTGCTGGGTGGACCTGGACCTACGAGAGCTGCGGCCCAAGGGGTCTTCCTTTGTTTCTGCGTGGACTCAGATCAATCTCCCAAAGGACAGAGAGCAGACTTTCGAGGATGGCCACTCCCTCAGTGCCTGAGGGGCTGCGGATGTGTGCGGGGACCTGACAGTGGGGAGCACGCCACTCACCTGCTGCCCTTGCTCTCTTCCCACCTGCCGTTTCTGCTCCTCATCAGCTTTATTGCCTATAAGGATCTTCTGGACACCTTCTGGTGCATACTGCGGCAGAGGACAGGCAGAACTGCCGGTGAGAGCCGCCCTTCCCTCCCATGCACCCACACAGTCTGCATGGCCTCCAAACCACCACCAAGCCTAAGAGCCAAGCGGGGGAAACAGAGACTGTCTGTGACCACAGGGACTGGGATGCAGGTGCCAGGCTCCCCCGAGTACAGAAATCCCCCCTTATCCGCAGTCTTGCTTTCCACAATTTCAGTCAACTTCCAATCAACCATGGTCTAAAAAATATGACACAGAAAATTCCAGATATATTTCAAAAGTTTTCAGTAACTTTCATTAGTTACTGTAATTGTTCTGTTTTAGTATTAGCTCTTATTGTTAATTTCTTACTGTGGCTAGTTTACAAGTTAGCCTTTATCATACCTATATATGAATAGGAAAGAACACAGCAGATGAAGGGTGGGTACTCTTCAAGTTTCAGTCATCCCCTGGGTTTGTTGGACTGCATCCCCAGCAGATAAGGGAGGACCACTATCCGTGGCTGATCCCAGCAGTGTCTCGGGACGACTGGGAGCAGAAGACACTCTGGCTAATGTTAATGCCTTGTTGGGTTGAACAGGTGGTATCTGAGCTGGAAAGGACACTGGACTTTTTTTTTTTCCAGTACAGGGGATCAAACTCAGGACCTTGTGCTTGCCAGGCAAGCAGAGTGCCACTGAACTACATCCCTGGTCCCAGGGACACTGGACTTTAAGTCAGCTCTTGTTTGGCACATAATGCAGTAAGGACCCAGAGGGCTCAGCTGGCCTGCCCAAAGCTATGTGCAGAGCCAGGGACATAGGTGTTGATCCAGTCTCGCAGTTCCACCTGCTCCTGAGATTTCAGGAAGCAAGGTGCTCACAGGGTGGGCTTGAAACTAACTGCTTCCCAGAGAGGCACAGCCACGGGGGCCTGGCGAGGCACACAGCACGGAAGCAGGGCAGTTTCACTCCCTCTGGGTGACTTACTCAGCCGGAGGCTTGCATCCGGGACTGTGGGAAGTAAGACTTCCTGGCAGCACGTACTGGCCAACCCTGAGCACTTCCACTCCTCCCATCTGGCCCTGGCTTTGCCTTCCCCGCCCTGCCTGTGAGGTGGCAGGCATCTCCTACCTCGTCCACATCACTGACCCACTTCATGATGTGTTGGTAAGAACGCTCGCTGCTGATGTCGTAGACTAAAAATATTCCCTGCGAGGGAGAGAAAGAAAGAGAAGGCGATGGCGGAGGGAGATGCACCAGGCAGAGTGCAGTCTGGGCCAGAGCAGTGGGCCCCCCTTCTCTCTGCATAGTGTGAGGACCCCTTGGCAGCCAGAAATGCCTGCTTCTCTCTCAGGGCCCCCACAGCTGCCACGCCTACGACCATCACAGAACTCTGGACAGGAGGGTACTACATGCTGTGACCTGGGCCCTTGGTCCAGAATCCGAGGTGGAAGTTGGCGGGGGGGACCGGCCTGTAGTAAGTACACAGTGAGTAAGTAATGAATGACCTTTGAACAACAGAAAGACTGCCCAGAGGCTGCCTCCCAGCAGACAACCTGAGGGCACTTTTTGGGGGTCAGTGACACAGACACCTCAAAAACCCAGAGCTGGGAGTCCAGGTGGCAGCTTCCCACCTCTGCACCCTGAAAACAGCAGCTCACCTGGGCCCGTCGATAGTACTGCTTTGTGATGGTCTGGTATCTCTCCTGCCCCGCTGTGTCCCTGCAGTAGAAAGCCAGTCCCTCAGAGAGCAGGAACCATAGGAACAGATGGGGAGGGGAGGAGAAGGAACTGGGAGACTGTGCCCTTGCAGGAGAAACTGGGGAGCTGCAGGGTGAAAAATCAGTGGTGCTTTGGTCCCTAGAGGGATCTGTACACACCTAACTGCAGTGAGAGGTCCAGTCTCTGTACCAGCACTAGCAAGGCCTGCAGGCCCTTGGCCTCTTTTGACAATTACATCCGCACCTAGACCCACGACCGGGTATAAGTCCTTAGAATCAGTTCTCTCTAGAATTGGGCCCTCATGGCCAGACTGGGTCATATAGGAGGATGCTGCTATACTCCCAGTGCCTCTGGGGCCTCTGGAGGTAAGGCCTATGCCATTGTGGGATGGGGTGGTAGCGACACAGCACCGGCAAAGGCGGGGAGTCCTTCCAAGACTTTCAAGCCAGAGCCACAGCAGCCCCTGGTGGCTACTGGGGGAACTGCACCATGCCACGCAGGAGGAACTCTCAGGGTCCCGCTCTCGTGGTTGGGGTGGAGCGTTGTTCTATGCTTCAGCACAGTGTGGCACAGCCCAAGGGTACAGCCTAATTCTAACACAAACCCACAATGGGTAGTTCATCAATTCCTTCTCATCCCTGTCCTTTGGTGACTTGTTTCTTAAGAAAGAGATGAGAGGTTAAGCTCCGAGGAGGGGGTGGGCTTTTTGACTTTCTCCTTCATAGTGGTGCCCACTTATCCCAGAGGAACCTGAGCACTTTTACACATGGCAATGGCAGCTAAGGGGCAGCCCGGGGTCCTCTTTTCCTATACTCGCCTCCTCCTCCTGCCCCACTCACCAAATCTGTATCCGCACTTTGATGCCATCTACTTCTATGGTCTTCATTTTAAAGTCAACACCTGGGGAAAGAAAGAGCAAACAAGAAAGTCAGGAAGGGCACTTGCTGAAAACTGACTAGGAAAGGCCCAAGGTGCTCACGTATGAAAGGATTTCCTTTGCCTCAGTGTGGGAGAGATGGTATAAGGCAGTGATGGCGAACCATTTAGAACTTTCACTGATAAACTGTGGCTGTGACATGCGTGCCAAAAGTTCGCTGCTACGGTGTAAGGTAAGGCAGTTCTTGAACCATAAACTGACCCTAAGGAAGTGTCCAGAGCTTCCTTTCCTTTAGGAGCTGAAAGGTGTCATCAGTTGAGGGAAACGGAGGCAGAGGGGAGACTGTGGAATTGTGTTTCATTTTACTCACATGTGAACCCTTCCTCTTCATATTTCTGAAAAGACCATTTGCATTTATCCTTCCTGAATCCTAGGAATTGCAATCCACACTCCTCCTGTCTCACTAACAACCGGGAGAAGCTGTAGCGCAGTCAGGATCTGGGGAAGACGGGGCTGTTGTGAGCCCGAGGCCCACCTCCTCTGTTGCTGGCTAACCCCTTAGACCTCAGGGTGTTGTTCAGTACAGGGAGCAGGAGCTTGAGGTCTCTAGGCTGATTCTTGGCCTCCTAACTCACAGTACTTTGGGCACCTTGATTCCCTAAGCCCCCATTTCCTCAGGAGTAAAAATGGACTTTATGATCTTGGAGGATGGCTGAGAAGAGCATGTGAAATACAACTGCTGCCTGCATAATCTGCAGCAGCCATCATGGTATCCGGGCACAGTGCCTGGAGGGAGTGGGTACTCAGGAGGACCATGCCTGGCCACAGGACAAGGCATGGCAGGGAGCGTCCTGGGGAAGGCACAGGGAGCACAGAGTTCTCAGGCGATTCTGCCCAGGGGCTTGAGGAGCTAAAATACAAGACTCTGGGAACACAAGGCATTGGCAAACCAGCCCAGGGTAGAAACATACTTGGGGAAATTTGCAGCAAAAGAAGCCAGCATGCACCAGCAGCAGATGGGCTTGTCCAAGCCTGCTGACAGACGGGAGATGTTTCTGTTGTGTGCCTCTCCCAGACCCTAACTGTGCGCAGGGATTCCAGGACTGTGTCTAGCAGGGTAAATAAGCCAATGTCTCCATGCATTCCCCACAGGCAGGGCAAGAGTGGGCATTACAGGGAACATAGGAAAGGCAGGGTGGTGGGCATCTGTCACCACGCTGCACAGCCCAGCGCAGTGCCCCAAGGGCACCAGCATTCCCAACACCACTGCCATCCAACCTCCTGTCGGTGCTCTGCCAGGTGGGAAAACATGTCCTCCTACCCATCCCATCCCCAGCTTTCCTCAAATACAGACAGATCAAACTCAGTCTCTCCCTTCCCAACATCAAGCCTGATCATCACTTAATCAGAAGGCAGAAACAGATTCAGAATGTGTGAGCTGAACTAAATCAAGGTGGTCAGACATGAATCATTTTCACCCGACCAAGCTGATTCCTATCTATGGAGCTCTTCTTTTCCAAATGGGCAGTGTCTGGTAGCAACTTTTTTGTGTACAGAGAAAGGGTGACAAAGAGGAAGAGGATGAAAGGAGGGAAGGAGAGGACACCTGGCCTCGGTGGGAGGCAGGAACAGGTTTGCTCCCTCCCTGGACAAACGGTCCTCAGGAATTTGCTTCTCACTAGAATCTGGCAGAGAAGAGAATCAAGAAATTCTTGTTTGATGGTACAGTGCCTCCTTCCAAGAACAGCATGCCATCAAAGCACTGGGAGAAATATTTTAAAAACTTACACCTAGATTATAGATCTCTCAAAAATAATACAGCTTAAAATATGGGCAAATAAATGAAACACACGCAAAGGTATGACACAGACAAGCACACAATGCCGGGCATGGCAGAGCACACCTGTAATTCTAGCACTGGGAGGCTGTGGCAGGAGGATCACTACAAGTAAGAAAATGAGCACAGGGCCAGGGATTTGGCTCAGTGGTGCTGCCATCTGCCTCACAAGCCAAAGGTCCTGAGTTCTATTGCCGATACCAAAAAAAAAAGCATAGAAAAATGTGCTCAACATTAAAAAGAAAGACTACTTTGGACATTGACCTCTGATATAGCTTTCAAGAATCCCAGGTATCCTGATGAGAAAGCCCACATGTACCATCTCCCCCGGGGAAATTTCAAGCTACTCGGAGTGACTGGTAAGACAAGGAAGGGTGCCCTACCCAGGCTTTACCCCAATCGTGCAAAACACCCTGAATATCAACCCCCCTTTCACTCCGGTCCAGACAGAACCCGAGCCTTCTCCTGGGTGAGTATTTCGTGATGTCCTATGTGAGTAATAAGCTTCATTTTACATGGGGCGGGGGTGCTCAAACAACAGAGTGGTCACAGGAGGGGGTAGAAGGCTTTCTCTCCTTTGTCCCACAAACGTTTATGAGAACACTGTTCCCAGAACACTGCTCCATGTAAACAGAGAAGCAAACACAATGTATGGTCCTGTCCCTTACAGAGGTGAGTAGAGTAGACTCAAAGGTTCAGAGAGGGAAATAACTATCCCAAATTTGGCACGGCAAGGAGAGACTGAAACACAGGTCTGTCTGAAGTCAGAGCCCATGCTACCTCCTGCGCTGATTCCCGGGGGAAAGAGAGTCGCTTGGCATGGGAGCCTTAAGCGTGCTTCATTTCCTGTTTCCCTGGGGTCCCTGAGAAGGGCTTTCCTAGAAGAGAAGCATCCAATATGATGGGGACTTTTTCCCTGGAAGAGAAGAGGAGAGGGAGGGAGAGCTAAAAGCAGCTATCGGGAGAGGCAAAGGGACAAGCAGATGTGGGACTACGCTGGGAGGGTGTACAGTGCTCGGTACCTGCTCAACTCCTCCTTCACCTCCTAGCCATGTGGCCAGGCTAGGGAATCCTGGGGCTTTCAGTAACCCTAACGCACTGTCCTACAGTCCAAGCCCTACTGCCCACCAATAAATTGTTTCAACATGTCTGAGAAATGAAATGCTTCAATTAGGCTGTCTGCGTGCAGTAATGTATGGTGGAAGAAACGGATTCTCTTCTGAAGGATTTCCTGAACCAGGTGTGGTGGCACACACCTGTGATCCCAGCACTTGGCCATCTGAGGCAGGACGGAGGATCACTGCAAGTTCGAGGCCAGTCTGGGCTACCTGGTGAGTTCAAAGCCTCCCCGGACTACACAACCAAAACAAGAAAAGCCCTTTCTTTATAAAACAAGGCTAAGAGCCTGCACATCTTCCAGGGTATCTATTCCTTCTATTTTCCATTGCCACATAGGTTGGACCTTCCCGTGGCCACTGCTGCAGCAAAGCCCTGGCCCTTTCTCTCTGCTGCCTGGCTGCCAGTCTCCCATCTACTGCTTGGCAAGACAGAGCCAAGACGGGGCAGACTGAGTCCCTCGACTTCCCAGTGTGGCAGGTCCTGCAGCTGCTCAGCTGACCGTTCAGATGTGGTTTCCCCATTCCCGCAGCCACTGTCCTTCCGGAGCGGGAGGGCGTCAGCCCAGGGGCCCCTCCAGCCTGTGCTCTCCACAAACCACATTCGCCTCTTCTCGCTAACCCATCTCTTCGCTGTCCCGCTCTGTCTTTGCCTTCCTCTGTCCTTCCAAGGCTCATCTCAGCTGTCCTCAGCCACCCCTCCAGTGCACACCCTGGCAGGCCCTCCGCTACTTGTTCAGAGCCATGGGAAGAAAAGATGGTCCCCATCTCCCCTACTGTTTGCTCTTCCTGGCATCCTCAAGGTGCACACAAACCACCTGGGGACAGCATGAAAATGCAGACTCCAGGTTCGGTCATAGTGCACAAGGCCTGAGAAGTTGCATTTGGCTTCCGGGTGAAGCGGAGGCTCCTGGTCCATGAATCACACTGTGACCGTGATTCTCCAAGTGTCCCCAGCCCAGCAGCATCTAGGACTCTAAAGGCTTGGGCCAGAATTCACACCCTCAGAGCAGGCCGCAGAGATGTGTTTCTCACAGTGAGCTTCACAGATTCTCAGCTTTGGGATCACCCCCGAAGATCTTTTTTCTAATGCAGCTACCTTGGCTTGCCAACCTAACCGAGGCGCAGAAACCTGTGTTTTTCCCAGCACAGGGAGTGACACTGAGGGAAGTCAGGGCCGTGATGCAGTGCAGGAGACAGTGACTGGCACTGGCATCTGTGAGCCCGAGTGTGAGTCCTGGTGTGGGCATGTGCTGTGTGCCTGTGGACAGCGACTGACAATTCCACTGCCTCCCAGGGTTTGTTATGGGATATAATTAAACAGGGTATATAAAGCACCTGACTCACTGGTTCTCACTCCTACCTTTCCTCTGCCGAATAAAGACTCCCCTGAGGTGCAGTCAGGAAAGCAAACCCGAAGAAGCCCGATGTAGAAAAAGGCTTACATGGTCTAGGCCAGTGGCGGCGAACCTATGGCACACGTCCTGCAGCAGGCTGCAATTATCAATGAAAGCTCTAAAAGGTTCGCCATCATCAGTCTAGGCCCTGGCTACTCTGCTACCCTACCAGGTCCCGACCTCATCAGGGAGTTTCAGATGCAGATTCTCAGGGCTCCCCTACACCTACGTTTTTGTTTTATTTTTTAAGACAGGGTCTTGCTATGTAGTCTGGCCTTGAATTTGCTATGTGTGCAGCCCAAGCTGGCATCCAACTTGTGATCATCCTGCCTCAGCCTCCTGAATGACGGGATTACAGCTGTGTGCCAGCACGCCCAGCCAACCTATGAAATCTTACGCACACTGAAACTCTGCGTGCCCCTGGGCAGAGCCACACCCGAGGCTCACAGAAATACTTGCCTTTTCAGCACCTGCCTTGGCTACAGAATCCCCATGAAGTGGGTATAGAAGGCACTGCTAGTGGGAGGCACAGAGGCCAGCTCACTCATGTCTGCACATCCCACTGTCGAGCCAGAACTGGGAAACTGATCTCTTCAAACCCAGCCAGGCATTTCTGATCCTGTGAAGATCAGAATGCTTTTTCATTCAGACCCTGCCACCGTCCACCCCTCTTC